CTATACCTGCAAAAAAATAAGTGGAATGATCATATAAATAGTTATTAAGACACTTGAGAATTAAGTTTTTGTAATTCTATGGTAACTCTGGTTAATATAAAAACATATTGTTCCATTCCTGGTCAGTTAATAATTATTATAAGGACAGTATGCTGTTATACTAATTGATTCTACTTTGCAGATCAATGGAAATCCTCACAAAATGAATAGCAGTTTTTTCAGTATTCAGTGTTAATCCAAAGATTTTCAAACAAACCCTGAAGTTTAATCCTCATTATGTACGCTTTTATAAAGGTCATATACCATACATACAATCTCCAAAACAAAATAAAATGTTTCTTTCAGAACTTTTCCAAGTGATACAAAACAGTACTTAACTGGAAAGTGCTGCAGTTATATTATTTCTGTATTTTATTAAATTAAGGATCAACAGAGGCCTTTATGTGGAGAGCTTTATACATTGAGGAAATGTTTTGTAATCACTTATTAGTTACGCTTTTTTTAAATAAATGATAATATTGTTCAATATAAAAACTGTATTGGGATCATATTGTTTCAAAATGGAAGAAAACACTGACGCAAAGACCTTTTTTTTTTTGCATTTTATTTGTTTGCATTATTACATCAAAGATGATTTAACTTGAACATAATAAACATTCATAACACAACCCTTGCATCTACACTCCGTCCATCACCAGACACAAGAATATCTGTTCTTTGCTGTTGTCTGAAGATCTGAGTGTGCAAAGTCCTTGTGCATTTTTATGCCTGGATGGCTTTGGAGATGGTTTCATACACCTGTGCAAACCTGGCCCTGGCATTCTCCATGTAGGGCTCCATGCGTGTCTGGAGGTCCTGGGTGTGTGGGGCAAGCTTCTCTCTGGCCTCCTCGACAGCCTTCATCAGCTGTTCCTTGTATTCCTCAGCATATGGGGCGGCCATGGTCTTCAGTTCCTCCAGACTCGCGGTCAGCTTAGTGCGTACGGCCTCGACCATCGGCACAAGTTTAGACTTGGTCTCCTCAACGTTGGTCTCGAACTTCTGCCTCATCTCCTCCAACAGGGGCTGCAGCTTGGCACGCAGCTGATCAGCATTTTCACGGTTCAGGTTGGCGTACTCCTGGAAGACGGGCTCCAGCTTTTCACGGTACTCGTCAAAGTGCTTCTGCAGCACCCCGTACAGCTCAGCACGGTGGGGCTCCAGCTTGGAATGGAGGTCCTCGACGTCAGTCATGACACGCTCGCGCAGCTGCTTGGTGTTCTCCAGGAACTGGTTGGAGATGGTCTCAGCATAGGGAGTCAGAGTCTGGGAGGTGGACTGGGCATAATCTTGGAGCTTAGTCAGGCTCTCTGAAAGTTGCACCCTGAAGAGAAAAGAACATAAATTTGGGAAACACAAACCATTTCAGGTGAAAGTCTGGAATCATAAATCACACTTTGCTTGTTCATTAAGGTCAGACGAGAACTGGCCACCCAACTGAGCCTGGTTTCTCCCAAGGTTTTTTTCCCCCCCTCCCTCCACTACTATCCCATGGAGTTTTGGTTCCTTACTGTTGCCTTTGGCTTGCTCAGATGCGTAATTAATATTAATACAGTAATATCAGTGATTTAACTGCACTGCTAATACAGGATGATGGTAAAATTCAAAATGAATTGAGCTGGTTGATGACACCAACTTTACAACGTCGACACTGTTATTAATCTGAACTGAATCAACGTTGCACTGACTTGAGCTGAATAATGATATGTGACCCTGGACCACAAAACCATAAGGTCATAAGGGTCAATTTTTTGAAATTGAGATTTATACATCAATTATACATCAGATTTATATCCATTGATGTATGGTTTGTTAGGATAGGACAATATTTGTCCGAGATACAACTATTTGAAAATCTGGAATCTGAGGGTGCAAAAAAATCAAAATACTGAGAAAATCGCCTTTAAAGTTGTACAAATGAAGTTCTTAGCAATGCATATTACCAATCAAAAAGTACGTTTTGATATATTTACGGTAAGAAATTTACAAAATATCTTCATGGAACATGATCTTTACTTTAATATCCTAACGATTTTTGGCATAAAATAAAAATCGATAATTTTGACCCATACATGTTTTTTTTGGCTATTGCTACAAATATACCCCAGCGACTTAAGACTGGTTTTGTGGTCCAGGGTCACATATTGCATTCTGTGGAGCTGCTTATAGCTGAATTAAACTTGTTTCATAATTTGCAGCATTGACAGTTATTGAATGGAATTGAAACAACACTAAACTAAATTGAGCTGAATAACGACACCATTTTCTTCTGTAGATCTCCTTTAAAGCTGACATTAAATTAGTTCATGATGCATTTATAACATTAACACTATTTTCTTTTTTTAATGTGAAGCTACTTTAAAGCAATCTGTATTATATAAATATCTGAGACTTGACTTGAAATGATGAGATACTGAAGTGTGACATGATACTCTTAGAATGACTGAACTGTGAAGGGGCAATAAAGGATTTGGGAGAAGTAAAAACCACAAACAGCAGATTAAGACGCAAAGGAGAAAAGAGTGAGAGACATGACAATGTAGAGGTCATCATGATAAGATATGGCTCTTACTTGTATAGCTCATAGTCGGTTCCGTCCAAATTGTCGAGGGCCTTCTGAGCCTGCTCCTTGACCTGGGTCAGGTACACCAAGGCTGCTGCCTTGTAGTGCTCCAGCTGAGAAGGAGCATCAGCCTGCAGGAAATGGGCCTGGGAACCTGAGAAGACACGGGAAAAGCTTCAGAAACCAAAAGGGAGGACAGTGAAGTCTTTAAACTGTCAAGAAACAGGTGGTCAAATAGTCACCATTAAAAAACAAAGCATTAACAAAATCATTAGTTTTTGATTAGTTAAACATGAAGTAAATTTAAATTACTAAAGAAAAATCAGTATGTTACTTACCCACAGCCAAGAGGATGGTCAGTGCAAGAGCCACGAATTTCATGGTTAAGCTCTGAAACAGAAACCATTTATTATAACGCTGTTCGGCCAAGATTTGCTTTGATATTCCCCTGATCCATTCCTCCTCTCCTGCTGGTTTGAGCTCTTACCTGAGTGGTGCTGCTCTGAATGTGCGAGGACGGACAGCAGAGGCAAATGTCTTATATAGGGCAGAAACAGTACATGTGGAGTTGGAACCCTGTCCTCTTACACATCAGAGGTTCAAAGGTTAAGAGATAAGAGATGCCTTTTAGATATTTGCAGATACGTCAATGCACATTCTCTGTCAGTCTCACAAAATGGAATTACTTGTAAATATTCAATGACATTATTTCTGCCAGAGAAAATATTTTAACTAATATTTTAAGTCATTTTTCAGATATTACTGAAATCTACATTAGTTAAATCTGCATCGACATGCAACAGCATATCAATTTTATGAGATGTTTAACTGCATCTAAACAATAATTCTTGGGACAAATATTTATTTAGTAAATCAATATTCACTGATACAATTCAGCATTAGAAGCCAGAAACTCTAAATTGTCTAATGTAAATCTAAGTGCTGAAATTCAGCAATTAAAGCAAGATAGAACAACATTTTTGGATTATATTTTGGTGCTCTGTAGGTTGCATTTATTGGTTTGTGATTAAGCAGTTTGTTATTGAATACAATGCATTCGTGTGATTACATCTCGCTGTCATAAACTGGTAATCGTGAAACTATGACAAGACTGTGAAGTTATCTCAAAACATTTAGCAACGTGTAGCAAACCTTGATCTCCACCTCCTTCTGCTCCAAATCCTATTTTATCAACTGCCAACCAAACAAAGTCATAACTAGTCAGGGGTCATTGATCAACTAGTTATCTTTGTCCCTTGATTTACTCAACTGTTCACATTCTCAAGCAAAAGTCTCTTGATTGGCTTATGCTGAGTAGCATTTTGACTGAAACTGAGAACATTTCAGTTTAGTATTCATAAATCAAGTACAATTATGATTTACTTAAATGTGAACAGGAAAAGAAAACATTGTCCACTAAAACAGACTGTACTGGGGGTTTAAAATATGTAAGTGTACATCTTTGTTGGTGCACTCTCTTTAAGGACAAATATTAACCCAGTCTGGAATGTATGTAGAGGCACGTATTTCTAATGAGCCTATGTTGCAACATAAAGTAACATTTTTTTTTTTACTTGGCAATAAACTTTACACTCGTCGTCTCAAATGTGCAGTCAAACACAGGGACAGTGGGTTCTGAGCACTACATGCTAATATACAGAGGACAAGGTTATCCAAGTATCAAGTGTATCATCAGAACAGAACTCCACGCTTGTCATCATCAGCAGGAACCTATCTACTCATGCAACCTGGGTGGTGATGATGATAGGCCTATTCGATGTTTTCAAATCAGTACAAGGTTTATTTTCTTGTGTTACCAACTAACAGAGGAAAATCATCTTTTTTGGGGTAGAGACTAGAGAGGACCCACTCAGTAAATGTTGTAGGCCTACCCTACATGTGGCGGTTTGTTCACCTCTTCGAGGTTTCCAGGTTGTTGGCGTATTGCATTTCCTAATGAATGATTAAAAAATCCATCTGCGATTCTGCATGATTCCGCATGATTCCGCAGTAGGTCATTTACACAGGTAGGTGTGCTATGTCTCCCTCTACAGGCTGAATGAGTTTTACTATTTTGTATTTTCTGAAGCAGATTTGGAGTACAAGTCTCAAAATCATGAATGGTACAAAATATATTTGCCTCCAGCAAGATGCTCCTCCCATGTCTTTTCTTGTTTTACAATGCACTATGATCTAATTTTATTGCATTTGAGAAAAGACTGATTAATAAATATTCAAGCAGACTGTTATAAAATAACTGACTGAATGTAGATATAGAAGCTCTTGGTCATTTTTTGAAAGCATTATGTAAGTATAGTACAAATGTTGTAAAAAGAACCCGATATAAACATTGCATATTAACAGCATGTGAAATAAATTATACACATATGAGGTTCGATCCCTGCAAATTTATTGGAATGCTTGGATCTGAAGCAAGTGGCATTTGTGCCGCAGTAATTGTGCACACTTTGAGGGCCATACAAATAGTTACAGATGGTTGATCTCTTACACTCGAACACAAACACATTCACATACACCAGCACCAGCTATGTAAGCACTTTGCACAGAGTACTGTACATTAATACTAACAGATTATATTTATATATACATACACACACAACTTTATATATCACTTCTTGCCCACTGGCTCTCCCATATTCACACTTAACTCTTTACATAATACTTTATAGAGCACATGGACACATACACAAAAACAGGGATGCAAGTGAGATAAATATTAACACTGAAAACCTCATGGTTGTGCATTAGATGCTTAAGAAGAGGAGCTTTCTCAAACTCAAACTCTCACACAAAAGGTATGACATGGTTTGATGGTTTTCACTCCAGTCTTCCTCCATCATATTTGTGTTATTGGGAATATGAAAGGGCAAAAGAGAAAGAGGAGGTTTCAGACGTCTCTGTGCCAAAGAACTTGAAATGGGGAGCAAGACATGATTTCTCTTGTGTGTCTGAATCATTTTGCTGTCATCATAACTGTGAGTGTGACTGAGTGCATATATGAAGGCACGGAGAAGCTGCCAGAGTAAGTGCTACTATTAAAGGTTGTTCAGACTGTGACAATGGGATTTTGAAGAGACTCTGGTCCCACCGCAAAGCAACATGTCCTAAGAAAAACTGTTTCTTGCCAAAAATATGTCTCATCTAGTCTTCTTTCTCTTACTGTTGTCTATTATGCATCTTAGATACATATACACATTTTATACTGATCATATAAAACTGGCCACTGTCCTACATCCACTTTTGTTTTGTTGTTCTTTTTGTACTTTTCTTTGTCTTGCTAAATAAAGTATTTTAGGTACATTATGAATAGCCAACATGTCTTAACCCTGCCTCTTCAGTGATTGACCAATATGGTGCCCCTTCCTAGACCAGTGAGGCTCGCCTCTCCTGAGGCATTTCCTCCAACAGTTGAAGCAGCAGCTCATGGAGAGCCGTTGATATGGTCCTGTATGCACCGGCGGTCAGATGTAGGAAGTCGAACATGTCTCGAGAGGAAATAGTCCCATCTGAGTGGACAAAACTACCTCCCAAATCAATAAACGGAACAGGGCCGAGTTGAGGAAGAGATGCGCGAAGTAGATTATTCACTGCTGCATTTTTCTCTCTCAGAGGGTTAGGAAACTCTCCCCTTGGCAACAGGCCCTGAATGACAGGAATTGCGACTAATCAGCTTAGAACAAATAACTGAACTGCTCAAAGTTGATACTCTGTATATGCATTAATTCGAACACTACACATCTCACATTATCAATATTTAGACATAGTGATTTATGTAACTCACCAAAACAATAATTTTGGACTTGGGGAGGCGAGACAGAAGTAACTGTGCAATGGCCAATATTCCTCCTGCAACTTGATCCGCAGTGTGCTCATGATTATTAGTTCCTACCCATAAAACCACCACCTGTGGAAAAACAAACAAGGATGCAATACCAGCGTTGAACACACATTTTACTTCAAAACAGATATTGTTAAAGCTGTTAGAACAAATAAAGAAAAAATGCTTCCTCACTCTGGGTCTGATGTTCTCCAGTTCTCCATTCTGTAGTCTCCACAGCACATTACAGGTTGTGTCTCCACCAATCCCAAAGTTCAGAGCATGGAGAGGTGAAAACAGTTCCCGCCACACCTGAGACCAGCACCAATAAGAATTGTAAACCAACTGTAACTAATGTAAACCAAATATGTACATTTATAGAAAAGCATATTAAATGCTGATTATTATTAATAACCTACAACAGACAAAACATTTCAGGTGCACAGTTACCAAAATGTAAGTAAAAAGAGTCGTGTCTTTTTCATTTTGGAATGATAAAACTTGCTTTAAGTGCCTTTACTGCAATACTATATATTACATTTACATTTACATTATTTAAAAGTATTTGACCACTGAATGCCATGAAAGACAGATAAGAATAAAGCATTCCCGAGAGCTGGATAATAAGTCATTCAAATGAAATAAAAATCTAAATTATTAGGGCAAAGTTTTGTTGTTAGTATTATTTAAAAGTTCATATATTGGCTATAAAAATACATGTACAATACTTTTCATATGTTTACAATAGTTTCATATGATAAACTACATTTATAATTAATTCTGAATATTAAAACATTATGCTTCAGCTTGCAAACCACTGACTGCCAGTTTTTATTAGTTCACGTGTTGAGCGCATTTCAACATTTTGCACACACACTGCTCTACTGCTTTTGTATTTATGGAAGCTTAGTATGGGAGCACCAATCGTTGGTTTCTCCTTTGAATTCACTGCTTCTGTTCGAATTATTCTCCTATGTATTTGGATAAAAGTGTCTTCTTACGGAATAAATGGAATTGTAGTCGAATGTTATGGACGCACATGGCTCTCCTTACATGGACTAACTCATTAACGAGATAACAATCACCTCATTCTGCTGCATTAGCTGCACCATTGAGTCCCCCACAAACAGAACATCAGGCTCGGCATCCTTGCACTCCTGCACAAACCGGTTATGCTGCAAAATATAGGACAAATCCAAGCATGTTACACTCTAATCCTTAAAAATAGGAATAGGAAATAAATAGAATAAAAGAATAAAATAGGAAAAGATTTGCACAACTCTGAGCTGTCTGAATCACATGCTTATACAGTCTTCCTCAATGGTGCCCACCTGTGACATCCAGCGTCCGTCTCCCTGCACGTCGATGACAGGCGCAGGTTCAGCAGCGGGATTCTCCTCAGCGCTCATTCTGAGTCTACAACACAAACACAACACTACTATTGAGCGGACGTATTGACGTAATGGAAATGAACAGCAATGGTTGATTAGCTCAGACTGTAGTGAGTGGAAATTTAGTAATTCAACTGTCAATAGCAAAATATAATTCATTGAAAGGGCGCACATATTCCAGATACATAAACGCTAGTTACGCCGCATAAAGAGTGCCTGTGTTTTGCTTTTAGTATTGTGAAGATGAGGAGGAGGAGGCTGGTGATGATGGACCCCGGATGAAGCCGACACGGAGCAGAGGCTGTGCAGTAAAGATTAACGCTTCATAATGTTCTTTAATGACTGCTATTCTCAGGGACGGTCACAGTACTGTTTATCTGATGGCATAACGAAGAAGAATGAATCAACAACCGGGACAAAAGAAAACCACATCCCCGTACATCACGTCCATCTCTACGCACGTTTCCTTTTGACTAACCTGGCTACAGTGTTTGCAAATCCCGTCTGCAGTGAGTGAGCTGCTGGTGTGCAGCAGAGCAGGGCAGGGCTCCCTCAGTCACGTACAGCAGCACCACAGTCGACTGACGGACTGACTGTCCGGTGGAAGATGCAGATGAGTGTTTCTGCTGCCGCGCACCTCGACTTTGCTTTTTCTAGCGCTCCCTTAGAAAGCAATGCAACCTTAGCCGACTCAGGCTACACAGTAACAATAACGTTGGACGTTTCAATTATGAGGGTATATAGTGCAAGGTCTTTTCAAGAAATCACAGTAAATGTTTGGGTTATGTAAACCGAATAGCATCCAGCCAACCACCTCCCCACTTCCCTGCGCAACCGCCCTCGCACTTTCTGGAAGCCTCACTTCCGCCTCCAGCCATCGTCACGGACGTCCCATTCAGCGCCGTCCCGCCTCGTGAAGGCAAAGCAGGCGAGATCTGTGATTGGAATAACTGTTATAATCGAAGCGGTATCACACGAGAGAGTGTCCTGCTTATATTTCATTCAGCTTGTTTAAAACAGTTCGATATACAAGAACTTAATAGTGCTAACCCTATTAAGCTGTATCATATTTGATATGTGGATTTCTAAGGCCTTTTAATTATGAATATAATAAAATGAATATAATTAAAACGTACACAACTTGTACACAATACATGCCTGCAGTCTGACTGATCATTCAGTTCATACTTTTAGTAGCCCGAGTAGAAGTTCTTCTAGTCTAATTAAAAAAAATGACCACCTTGAGGACATGGTACATGTATATTTTTACGCTTATTATTTTTCTTTTTATAAAATAAACGTAGAAAAAAACATTAATATTGTTAATATTTCAACATTTACTGGACTGAAGCAACATATGGCTTACCTGATTATCCATACATTATTTATTTAAAAAAAGATAATGAAAAACAGACTGCAATACAGAGCTTTGATAAAATTAAGCATTCATAAAATTAAGCATTTTTGTTATAATTGTTTGGATGTTCTTACAAAATTAGTACATCAATATGCACGAGAAAAGGACAGATCCATTTACAATATTTCTAGCTATGAGATGAAAAGGGTTATGTGCCTAAATGTGACCCTGGACCACAAAACCAGTCATAAGGGTCCATTTTTTTTAAAATTAAGATTCAATTAAGAGAACATCGCCTTTAAAGTTGTCCAAATGAAGTTCTAGCAATGCATACTACTAATCAAAAATTAATTTTTTATATATTTATGGTAGGAACTTTACAAAATATCTCCATGGAACATGATCTTTACTTAATATCCCAATGATTTAAAGAAAAATCTATAATTTTGGCCTATACAATGTATTGTTGGCTATTGCTACAAATATACTGTGCTACTTATGATTTGTTTTGTGGTCCAGAGTCACCAATTTTTTTTTTTATTGCTTCAAACAAGATTAACAAAATATTTTAACATATAAATACAACACAACCTATTCACATTATTACAATCATACAACATACAGGAACAAACAAAATAATAAATAATAAAATTAAAAAAAAACAAACAAACAGATATTTCTTCCTTTTCCCTAGAGACACATTTAGCATACAATTGAGTTGAAAAGCATAGCGGGGACATTATTTTTCAAAGAATTTCTCCATAAAATTTAACAATTTCATTCTTTTTGTTATTAATTAACACTAAGGACTTTTTTAACAACTCCATTTCTTTTAAGAATACTTCACATTTAGGTATACAATTCGCAAATTTTTGTTTATGAATGTAATATTTACCATGCAAAATGTAAAAGTTTACAACATATTTAAACATTTTGCTTTTGTGTGTGTAAGAACATATAACATCTTTTAAAGATAATTTATAATTAACATTTCTTGGGGCAAATAGAAAAAAGCTAACATCAGACCAAAATTTCAAAGATAAATCACAGCTGTAAAACAAATGACCCAAGTCTTCCTCGTGTACATTACAAAAACTGCATTTGTTGTCAATATCCATGAATTTTGATAAGAAAGCTTTACATAGGTAGATTTTGTGGAGTATTTTAGAGTGTACCTCTTTAACTTTATTCAACATGCAAAATTTATATGGATTTAACCATGCCTCTTTCCAATGAATATCAGAAATCTGCGCATTCCAAAAAAAAAATCCCTCTTGGAGAGATTTTATGATTGGATTGAAAGATTAATCTGATATTTTTATTATTACAGGAATGAGAAAATAGTTTAATGCCATCAACAAGATCCCTTTGTAACCAATTATTCATTATATTTTTTGTTTTTTTTTATTTTAGGCATAAAATTCAATTGTTCACAAGTATGCTTGTTTTTGGAAATATAAATGCCAAGGTATTTAACACAGTCCTTTACTGGTATGTTTTCAACAAACTGATCTGTAGAATGGTGTACCAGAGTCACCAATAGTTTCAGGATCATTTTATTAATGACGTCACTTGAACCTGGAGGCTGCGGCTGCAATTTTCCAATATTCCACAAGGTGGCAGCAGAGTAAAAAAAACTAATAAAAGTCATACTGACATTAGTGTGCTTTCTGTGATTACACATTTCAAGTAGCCTACAAGTAGAGTTAGACAAAATATTTTTGTTTTAGTCTCGTTTAAGAATAACCGACAACTTTATGTAACATTTGTTATAGCGGGAGAGAAAAACACATGAAGCGAACATCCAAATTCCTGTAGGAAACGAAACTGTGTTAATTATTCTTTCGATTACGTTGTTGCTACACTGCTTATGAGAAACATGCAGTGGCATGCACTGGATACATAAAAGAGAGCAGTAATCTTGTGGGAAACTGATGTGCAGGTTGACCTTGTCCCGACCGGTTTTTGTTACTCCTTTTAAAACTCCTCCTCTTTCCACTCACGGTGAAGAGCAAACAGTGTGAGTGGTTTAGCATTGCCGCTGTCCACAGGAGTGCCGAAGTATAACTAATATTCAGATATTGAGTATAAATACAGTACGTGGCTAGATATATAGTTAATAGTAGGCTCCTATCATTTTAGGGGGCTCTGGTAGCATTTTTCCTATGAGTTGGGTCTGGATTTACCTGTTTCCTGCGCTATGTGCGCTTGTCTTGACAGGTGAGTTTCCTACTTCCTGGATCCACCTTTGATTTCGGAATAAATCTAAAATGTTTGAGTGTTTTAAATATTTAATTCAACGAGTCATTATTTGTGGTGTTAGGAAGATTCTCTGCCTGCTGCTACGTTTGGCAATTTGAGACTACTGTGGTCACATTATACTTAGTGTAGTGTCAGAGTTGCAAGCTAGTAGCCTATGCTTTAACCACTACTCATTTTTAGTGTTATTCTGCGGCGCTTATCAGACGCTTATCAGATTTACACTGTGCTGCCGTTCATAAAACAAGATTATACGAGATTAGATTGATCCTCAGGGAGTTAATGCAGGAATTACAGCGGCTTGAAGCGGATAGCAGGTGCATTAAGAAAGATTAACAATATAGGCAGAGAAAAAAACATGTAGTAACAATTGGAAGAAATGGAATATATGTATTTTTTAATAAAAATAAAATCTAAAATGAAGTACACAAAAACTCAAAATATACTACTCAAAATATATAAACGTATTTGCAAAGAGCCTAGGCTATAGGTAGGCCTACTACTGAGTAGAGAGATCTAGTGAAACAGATTTAATGGTTGGAACGGATGCAGTCTCAGTTTAAGCAGAGTTAAACACACTGATCACAGCAGGACCCTAAAGCTTTAACTTAATGCGTAATAATTAGTTCAGGGTAGTTAGTGCAGAACATCTCAGTGCAGCAATAGTCCCATATGTGACTGAATAATGCTGTATGAGATGATCAATCACTGCCAACATGTGATACTGTAAAAAAAAGTTTTGATGGTTCAGATTGTTGTGGCTAATTGTTAGCTGGAAGGACTGGCTGCTTAAAACCCTTAAGATTGCACTGAATATTTTATATATCAGTAAAGGTTGGGATTTAACATGATTGTCAAAATATGGCGTGTGTACGATAGAGAATGTAATATTTAGATACAGGTATTGTCATCTCTGTTTTTACATTTCAATATACAGTATTAATAAAAGAAAATGATTTAATGGTTATGTAATGGACTTTCATGTGAGAGGTTTTACTTGGTAACATCTGATTGTACCGATCTGATAATGGTTTGTAAATTAGAGTAGGTCTGATAAGAGAGTTATGACATGAGCGTGTCTATGACAAGTATCTATAATTCTGTCATGAAGTTTGTGGTAACATTATGGTTTTCTCTTTCAATGTTTGCTTCAAGGCCATAGAATGTAAATTTTAGTGCCGGGTTTAGGGTGAGGGAATATAAATGTTGTTGGAATGAGCTGTTTGTGTCACCTATATACTTCTCTTAGTAACATGTTAATCCATGGTTATCAGGTGTACATCATGTGGAGGGAATGGAGTTGCTTACGTCCTCAGAGTTGGAGGCAGTCAATGGGACAGATGTACGGCTCAAATGTACATTTAAATCTACACATCCTCTCTCCGAAGAAAGAGTCTCTGTATCCTGGAGCTTCCGACCACTCGGAAAGACGACAGAAGAATCGGTGAGACTGAATGGGTGTGGAGTTAATGTGTCTGAAGATCTTTATTTACTACTGGCTGAAATGAGGCTGAGTACAGAAAATGCCCTCTTAAAAGGCTGTTCAAAAGTCTACAATACAATTTTCCTTCTGACCCTTTCTCTCTATTATTCCTTTCTTTCACTTAAAAAAACAAAAAAAACAATTCCAACCTCATTTCAGTGGGTCATAGTCCTTCCTGCCTATTTAACTTTCCAATTTAACAACCTTTCTCTCTCTTTCTTTTATTCTGTCATAGATTTTTCACTACCAAAAAAGTGAATTTCCCCCGAAAACAGGCATGTTTAAGGGTCATGCTGTATGGTCTGGTGATATAATGAAGGGTGACGCATCCATCACGCTGCAGAATGTGCAGCTCAGATTTAATGGTACCTACAGCTGCCAAGTCAAAAATCCACCCGACATCCAGGGCTTTGTAGGCGAGATCAGCCTCAGAGTCATTGAAAAAGGTAAGAACAGATGCTGTGCCGCTTAAAATCATTTACTCACCCTTCCAAACCTGTGTGGCAGTGAAGGTGAAGGTAGTATAAGCAGGATATTGTGTTCTTTCTTTGATCCCAGCAGCTGAAGGACAGAAGTATCTAATCAACCGGGCTAGAGTAGCAGACAGTCTTCTCTGAGAGTGTTATGGTACAGACAACAAGAGTGAGCGATATTCAGTTTACTGGTGAATCTCTGATAAAGTTTCACATTCTGTTATTTGAACAGATTTCCTTCTTTATTTCGGTTTAATGTACTTAATGGGCAGAGCTGGGTAGATTACTTGAAAATTGTACTCCGTTACTGATTCCAAATTACAGAATGACAGAATTTGTAGTTAGTAATGTAATCCATTACATTACACATTTTAGGTAATATAATCAGACTACTTTTTGATTCCTTTTAGATCACTTTTGACCTGACTTGTTAATCACATTGATTTAAATGGGATAATCTTGTACCATATTGATATAAAAATACAAAGGGAAAGAAAAAAAAGAAGCTTTCTCTCTTCTTATTCTATTCTATCTACTTGTTTTCTTTTTGTTATATGTACATGTGTGTGTGTGTGTGTGTGTGTATATATATATATATATATATATA